ACTTCATCTACATTCCCTGAATTAGGACATTTTTGTTTTACCAGCTACAGCTCACCACTGATTTCAGTGCTGGAGAGGAGAAATACACCTGCCAAAGGGGGAACATGGAATGTGGTTCACAAGGAGTGCTGGCAGGAAAGTACTGGAGAACCACATTCCAGTTGTGCAGATTTAGTCAGGTCAAATAAAAACTGCAAGGAAAGTAGTGGGGGAAAAAAAAAAAAGAAAGAAAAAGTGGTTAATCCTGTGGTCTCCTGTGTGTGAAAGTCTGGAGGAAGGTTATATCCAAAAATTTCCTCATTAAGGGCTCACAGCAATTCTTCACACAGCTATGGCTTTATAATAATCAGCAAGAAAGAAAAAGAAATAAAAGAAAAAATCAAATTGGTTACATTGGTGTTATAGGGTTTTTGAGAATTTATCCAGGCCTTGATTTAGAGCAGCATCACTTCATGAATCTTTAGGTCAATACAAAGATTACTTGCTTTCCTAGGAAAGAGAGAAAACAAGATTCCTCAAATCAGTGGGAAGCATCATTTGTTGGTGGGATTGGTCCCAGCTGACTTTTGCAGCCTAAACCAGAAAGTCCAGTCTAACCCAGTCTTTCAGACAACTCTGGAGTGAAAATAGAGAGGCAAGGACCCAGCTTGCACTGAGTGTTTGCTGTGCTTGATGCTGAAAGCAGAAAAGGGTCTCCAGAGCTCTCATACCCTACAACCTGGGAACAACAAGGGGGAAAATGCATCCCAACATTCCCACAGGAAACACAAAGAGGAAATGGCACAGCCCTGTTATTTCTGGAGCTTTTCCTTAGGCTTCTGATTAAGGAAAAGTGAGACTACACTGAGATCAGTGAAAAGATTTAAAAAATTTGTGAGACACAAAGAGGGGTCTGTGTGTCTCACTTTGATGTCTACAACTAATGCTGATAAAATCTGTTTTCAGTGAGAAACATGCCTTGCAGATCACCAAACATTTTGGCAAACAGTGGAAGAAAGGAGCAATGGCATAGAAAGAGAGGGTAAAAAACAGAGCCAGAGTTGGAAAAGTTGTGGCTTAACATCTCTTTGGCCTCATTTGCTCCTGGAGAGCAGCATCCTGTAGGCATCAAGATAGAGGCAATTAATTCAGTCACAAGGGCAGCTTGTCTCCTCACTTAGTCTTTTCCAGCTGTTTCAATTCTCCTGCTCTTCATCAGAGAAAAGAAAGTGTACTTTTTTTAATAGGGAGCCATTTCTCAAAATCCATGTAATGGTCAAACCACTTTTCAAGCCCATTTTCATGAAGAAATGAAGAATTTTATTCCCGTTTCTAGCACTTGCCTCGAATCAGCTTTAATATTTTAAGTGCCCCTTCTCTGCTGTTCTAATGCTCAAATCACGTGGTTATACTTCCTTTGACTCAGATAAATAAGCCAAAGTACAGCATGGAACTGTAGGGCCTGGGGATTTTATGAATGAAGGTGTTTAAACGCTGTTCATTTTCCATCACAGAATCATAGAATGGTTTGGGTTGGAAGGGACCTTAAAAATTATCTTTTTTCAACCCTCCTGCCATGGGCAGGGACACCTTCCACTACCCCTGGCTGCTCAGAGCCCCATCCAGCCTGGCCTTGGACACTTCCAGGGATGGGGCAGCCACAGCTTCTCTGGGCAACCTGTGCCAGGGCCTCACCACCCTCACAGTAAAGATTTTTTTCCTATTATCTAATCTAAACCTACTCTCTTTCAGTTTGAAACCACCCCCGTCATGACAATTTGTCCAATTCTCCCCCGAGGGATAAAAAAATTGCACTCATGGCCCCAATGGCAATGACAGGAGGCTCCCAGGAAGTCCATTTCCCTTGGAGCTTCTTGTGAGGGATTGCTCAGCAAACTGTGTAGATTTATGTTCCAGACTGACACACTCCAGAACAAAAAATGTGGGGGGTTGCTCCAGCAGTTTACACATCACACAGAGAGGAGTTTGGAAGGGTTGGGGTGGGGGTGGGGAATGTGTAAAAATCCTCCTACTTACAGGCAGAAGAAAAAGGAAGGATTGGAAAGAAGTGTCTAGAGGAACTGGAGTGGGAGGGAGGAATCTGCCTGGTGTGCAGGCTGATGATTCACAAAATGACTTTCTGTTTAAATCAGAGTGGCAAACTTAGGACCTGATCTTTTGAACAGTCATGGGCATGGATAGCCTTGGGCATGCAGGCTGTCCTCAGCAGCTGGGGATTCAGACACTTGATCATGTGGTGTCTTATCCCATACCCTTCCTCACCAGTGCCAAAGGTCGCATTCACCACGATATCACGGTTCATTAGGCAAGTCAAAGTAAGGAAGGAGCTGACAGGGCACTAATAAATAGTTAATAAAATATGAATGCGTGTGGTGGTTGCCTGAGCAGCCCTGGGGAAAACAAAGGACGTTTGAATCTGTTCACTGAGCCCCAGGAAGATTCCAGTTGATGTAGCCAAGCCAGTGGGTGTGTGTGGGTGGAGGTGACAGGTGCTCTCCTGATGATTCCCACTGGGGTCAGATCCAGAGCAGGATATAAACACTCTGGGCCACAACTCAACTGGTTCCCACTGTGGGTTTCAACTTTTCTCAGTGATTTTGGAGGTCTTTTCTAACCTAAATGATTCTATTCACTCTACATTGAGGGGATGGCAATGAAGTCCCTGTGGTGAGGCAGCAGCTCAGGTGCAGTAACATGACATCCAAAGGGACCTTCACAAGCCTGAGGTCTGGGCCAACAGAAATATTGTGACATCCAGCAAGAAGGACCACAAAGTTCTGCACATCAGGTGCAACAACCTGAAGGTATGAGCTGCAGTGGTCCCACCTAAGTGACAGTGGGAGAGAAAAACCTCAGTGAAGAGAAATGAACATCGGGGTGAACACAAGCCAGCAGTGCACTCCCACTGCAAACCAGGTACCAGGGCACATTCCAGAAGTATTGCCAGCAAATTCAGAGAAACCATTATTCCCCTCCACTAGACACATCTGGGAAGCTGTGTGTGGTTTTATGCCCTTTAGCACAAGCTGGATGTAGAGAATTCCAGTGGCAGGACATCAAGTGGACAAAGGTCTAGAGCACAGCACCAGTGAGGAGATGCTGAGGGAGCAAGGCTTTAGTCTGGCAGAGAAGGGGATAAGGGTGATCTAACAGCAGCTTAAATCTACCTGAAGAGCAATTAGAAAGATGACAGAGCCAATCTCTTCTCAGCAGTTCTGTAAAAGTTTTAAAAGCAGCTATTATCCTTTCCAAAGCATTTTTACGAAGAGTTATCTATACTAATTCAAGCTAAAAATCCAGTCAATCTCTTTTAACCTTCTGCACGTTTCCTGCTTGGGCAACCAGTGGTGGAATCTGCTTATTAGATGTTACACCTTTTCTTCCTCTACCTTTATTCAGACATAACTATACAGAAGGTATTTCAAGAATGTTTTTATAAAATCGGGGCTGTTGGTGGAACAAGAAAATGGGATTTTAGACTTTAAAAATGGAGAAGTTTGTAAAAGCAAGAAAGCAATAAGAAAAAATTGTAACTGGTTAAAAAAAAAACCAAAAAACAACACATTTCCTGGATGTTTCCTAACTATTGTTTTTAACAAGGCAGGGTAACTTTTTTTTTTTTCTAATAGAGCAAAGTTTTTGAAACATCTTTTCGGAAATTGGTCACAATTCCCCAGACAGAATGTTTCATTTCCCTTTGTTGAACTGAACCTTTCGTTGTGGCATTAATTTCTGCTTGCTAGAACTGCTGCTGTGCTTAGTAGGAAATATATTTCAGGAAAGTCGCATGTCCCCTCTTTACTGTTTAAGCTTCCCAGCAGATGGAGTCATCACAGAAATCTCCTGGTGTGTCACATCAGTTCAACTCACCGACCTACACTGATGTAATGGGCAGGATGCAGTTCAGCTCTGGGAGGAAGAGGAAGGCTGCAAGAGCTGGACATCAGGAAGAATTTCTTCCTGGCAAGGGTGGTCAGGCATTGGCAGGGGCTGCCCAGGGAGGTTTGGAGTCCCCACCCCTGGAGTTGTCCAAGGAAGGACTGGATGTGGCACTCAGTGCTCTGGGCTGGGAGACAAGGTGGGCATCGGGCACAGGTTGGACTCCATGGGCTGGGAGGGCTTTTCCAACCTCAGTGATCCCGTGATTTTGTGATTCTGCCACAGCCTGCTGCGTCCCTGGCCCTGGCCTTGTCCCCTGGATGGGCCCCTTGGAGCCGTGTAAAATTTTACATATGAAAGTTTTACATGACAAGTTGTACAAAGCCTTGTCTCCAGCCCATCCCTTGCCCCACCTCCTTCAGCTACTTCCCCCTGGATGTTCCCTGGCCCTGCCCCATCCCCTCACCCTGCCAGGGGCTGCTGATGGACCTCGTGGGTGACAGTGGTGAGGGCACGGCTGGCACGGGCCCTTCTGTTCTCTACTGCATCTCCTGCAGGGCTGGAACAGTGGGATGAGCTCCAGCCTTGGCACCAAGCACCCTCACACTCACCTGTGTCATTACAGCAGGGGAAAAATGCTGCCAGGACCTTGGCACTCACCTGTGTCATTGTAACGGGGGAAAATCGGTGCCAGGCACCATCACACTCACCTGCGTTGTCGTGACGGGGGGAAAACCAAACCGGTGCCAGGATCTTCGCGCCCCCACGTGTCATTACAACGGGAAAACTGGTGCCACCAGCTCACCTGGGTGGTTGAACACCTGGAAGAGCAGCCCCCTCACGTCCTGGCTGCGCAGCCCAGCCAAGCTGTGCCCAGGGTCGGGCGCTGGCACCCACCCATCCCTTCGGCTGGGACGGCGTGAAGTTTGTTCCCTGCCTGTGTCACCGGCCGTGCCTCACTTCCTCCTGTGGGACCGGTTAAACATTAACAGGGCGACCGACGGGCGTGTTGGGGCGGAGGGAAGGGGAGAGGCCACCCTTTCGTGCCACGGGGACAGTGTGGGACAGGCGAGTGGCCCAGGGCTGGGGGACAGTCACCCCGACACCGGAGGGAAGTTTCCCCGGGACAACAGGTGAGGGAACCCAGGAATCCCGGCTTTGAACACCTCCAGCCTCCACTTCCTCCAGCACCTCCTGGTTTGGGAGCTTGAGCCGGACCTGTCGCCAAAGGGAAAGCGGTGGGAGAACCTCTCGGCGCCCGGGGATGTGATCCAGGTAACCGCTCCAGGAATTTTATTGGCTTCCCAGCAGAAGGAGCTGGAGGATGAAGGATAATTTCAGCCTTTCCCCTGCTCTTGCCCCAGCGGGAAGGCTGCCCGGGGGTGGCGGCAGCGGGGTGAACAGAGGCTTTCTGTGGCTCCCATCTCCTACTCTGCTCCCTGGCATTCGGGATGGGCGTCCCAAAGCATCCGAGCCCTGCTCTGTGCCAGGCTGGATCCAGCTGCCATTCCTCTGGGGCACTAGTGTTGTCATTATCCCCCTGCCTGCGTGGTGGATGAGAGAGGGAGCAGCTCAGAGCAGCCCCGGCGACGCGAGTCACCCCCTGCACCTGCAGGGTGAAAAGCAGCACGGGACAAACCCCAGGCATTTAATTCATCCTCAGCCAAAATATCCTGTTTCATCTGAGGACCAGATAGTATTTCCCGGCCCTTTGAAAGCCCTTTTTGAAACAAAGTGAAACAAAACGTTAGAGATACCTCCCTTTCCCGTCCTGCTCTGCTTCACCCCACGCTGTTTGCTGATTTTGCCCTGGATTTTGGCGTCAGATTCTCTCCGGTTCATTTTTTCTGCCACAAAACAAAAACAAAAACAAAAACAAAAAAACAAACAAACAAAAAAAAAACAAACCACAACTAAAACTTTGCCCAGCTCAGATTGCATCAGTGCAGCTGGATTTGTAGGTATGAAGGCTGCCCTGGCCAGGGGATTTCTCTCCAGTCCTGTAGATCCTGCTGGGGATCACAGCTTCCTGGAAAAGGACCCTGCCCTGGCTTTTGTGTTTGTTTCCTGCTGCTTCACTTGGGCTGTTTCACTCCGTGTGACAGATAATACTGACTCTTGTAGCTACTGACTGATCTGTGTACGTGCCAAGAGCCACCCCAGTGACAGAGCCAGGAGGAATCCCTCCAGGCTGTGCACAGTGACCCTCCCTCCCCACACGGGAAACCTGAGAAGTGAGAAAAAACCTAAACCTTTCGAAATGCACTGGGTAAACCCAAACCAGCCCGTGAACAGCAGGTGGAGAAATAAACCCACGGGTTTGGCTTAAAATGTTCCTTAGTTGACAGGGCTGCCCCTTAAGCTCTCAAGGTGAATTGAAAGACTGTAAAAAGGGAAATGTGGAGCAGGATGCCAGCTGGGCTGAGCAGAAAAGTCAGAGAGACCCCTTGCTTAAAGCACCAAGCAGGGAATGGAGCTCTGGCATAGCCTGGTGCTGCAGCTGAGCAGGGAACTCAGGGTGTCCCTGTGGTGACACTTATTTTGTGCCTTGCACAATGTGCTGCCACAGAGAACATCCCCCAAATCAGAAACACTTTCCTGCCCAGAAATGTGGTCTGGCCACAAAACCACATCCTCTGTGCCATGACTTGGTTTCCTGGGGGAGAAGTTTGTAAACCAAGCAGCACAGTCAAACTCCCACATATTTTGAGAGGGAGGAGAAAAATATCTCACAAGTGAATCACAAAAACTGAATGGCAGAAAATGCAGAAGTAAAGTGGTGGCTCACACCCAGGCTCTGTGTATTATCTCTGACCACAGTGGAGAGCTGCTGGTGGTTTATTCTGGGGTTTAAGGGGCACTCTAAGTTTCAGAGAAATAACTCTGGTGACCTTCTTTGCACTATCAACCTTTTTGAGTGCTCAGACTGGGGAGCTGGGAGGAGATTTCATGTTTCTCATCCTTGCCCCAAGGCAGGTGAGATGGAGAGGCCAGAGTGGTAGGAGCTCTTCGTTCTGTCTGGGGTGGCCCCTCTGTGACAGGACTGCCACATCAATGATGACAGCGAGCTCTCCCTGGAAATGTATGAATAGGAATGCTAGTTTTGGAGTAAAGCACACAGAAACACACCAAAGCAACATTTTTGGGTGTATCCCTCCTCTCCTGAAGGATACCTAGCTCAGGAGACATCAGTTTCCTGAGAGGGGGGTAATAACCCCTACAGATGGAGGTCTGGGCCCCTCTGACCCCAAGGGAGTGGCTGGTGCCCTGCATGGCAGCGAGTGATGGAGCACAGGCTTCATTAGTCTGCCAGGACACCAGTGGCAGATTCTCACACAGTTTTGGGCAGCTCAGAGAGTTATTTTTCCCAGTTGTTCATGATTAACATCAGTGGTGAAGCTGGAGCTCCCCCGACCCAGTCAGCCCTGAGGCAGCAGTGTTGTAACAGCCAGGAGGGACCAAGGGCACAAGAGATGTGAGGTCTGTAGGAGGAGGTTTCTCTGCTGAAAAGAGTTCCTCTCCACCTATTGAAACAGTTATTTGAGGAAAGATCCTGCTCTCCTTCCAAACCTTCCCTCATTTAATCTCTTCCCCCTGTTGGCATCACAGGTCACACAAAGTCACATTGATCCCAGGACGCAAAGCAGCAACTTGATAAGTCCTTGTCCTTCAGCTTCTCCTCAAGGATGCACTGACTGCTGGTGGCTTTCTGCCTGAGGGACCAGGAGAGAATGCTCCAATGGAGAGGCTCCAGAGATCCATTTTACTTCCTCTCATCCTGACTGCCTCTCTCCCAGGTAGGACACATCCATAACCCGTGAAATGAGCCCCCGTGGGCCAAGTGTGGGAAATAAATTAAAAGCCATATAAGTGGCTGTTCCTGGAGAGATCAGAGTGGACAGTCAGTCCCAGAGTGGGATTGTTAAATTTGGGAAATAGCTGAGTTTGCATTTCAAGCCTGAATGATCTGATGACTCAGAGTGGGGTTCAGTGAGCAGGACTGAGCAGTGTGTGGGATAGGGAAGAGATGGGTAGATTGCCCTCTTCCAGTTTCCCCCTCTCCTTGTATTCCTCTTCCTTCTGTTTTCTGCAGCTTTTGAGGAGGCATCTGTTGAAAACTCAGTAGCAGCAGCTGGTTTTGCTTCCAGAAATATGTGCAAATCATCATGTTGCTGGTTTACCACCAAGTCACATTTCACATGCCTGAGTTTCCAAGTGGGTTCAGATTAAAAGTGTCTTGGTGCAAATCTTTAAAGACAAAGGAAATATAAAGTGACTCGCTGGATAATAAAGACAAAGCTGATTTTTTTTCTTTAATTATAGCCTAGCTGGGGTTTTAACAGGCTCTGACAGGAGCAGTGGGATGAGAGGGAAGGTATTGCCTTGGCTTAATAGTTGGTGAAAGGAAACACAATGCAGGAATAAACAGTGTGTTTTATAATTCCCAGTGGAATTGCACAGGGATGTGTGGTATTCAACAAGCTCTTAAACAACCTGGTGAAGAGGAGTGAACTGTGAGGTGGCAGACTTTGCAGGTGGTGCAGAATTACATAGGGCAGCCAAATCCAAAAAGGGACTAGGAAGATTTGCCAGAAAATGTCACGATGCCAAGGAAGCAATAAAGGCACAGAAAGCATTCAATGCAAAGCATCACTGAACTGAGATGTCTAGTGGGGGAAAAGAGTGGATACATTGGAAGGAGAGTAAATTGCCGAAAAAGAGAAACAAAATTCACTGCTCAGTGCCTTCAGAAAGGTAGATAAAAAGAAATCTGGCATTACATAAATCCACAAAAACTATATCTTGGATACTGGATATTTTGTCAGCTTTTCCATTTCAAAAAGGACATATAAGATCTGAGAAATGTATAAAGTGAGGCAGAGGTGTCAAAAGTATAGAATCATGGAATAATAGGATGGTTTGGGTTGGAAGGGGCATTAAAGATCATCCACCTTCCACTAGCCCAGGTTGCTCCAAGCCCCGTCCAACCTGGCCTTGGACACTTCCAGGGATGGGGCAGCCACAGCTTCTCTGGGCCAAGAGGAGAGGATCAGGAGGCTTTCATTAGACTGGGATATTTTTTCTCCTTGTGATAAAGAATAAATGGTAACAATGTATTCAAATAATTAATTCTGCAGAAGTGAATGGCGAAATGGTTATTCACAATTTCTCATAAGAAAAAGAACTAGTGGCAACCAGGAAAAGTATCAGAAAGAAGATTTAAGGTGAACCAAAGACTGAACTTTTTCTTACAGTGTGTAATTAAATAGTAAAGCTCATGGTCAGTGGATATGGAGGACACCAAATTATAAACAGGCTGAAAAAAAGCTGGAAACAAATATCACAGAGTGCAGACCCATAGGTGCAGATTCCATTATTGGCTTGGGAAGTCCCTGAATCTCTTATTTTTGGACACTGGGAAGTTGTAACAGGGACAGCTGTCAAATAGTGAGTAAGAGAAGAGAGGGGAAGACACTCCTGGGGGCTGTGGAGAGGTTTGGGTGCAGGTGGGTGGAAATCTGTGTTGCTGAGTATCAGTAGTCTGGTATTACTTGACAGAAACATCCTGTAAGCATTTAAAAATCTTGTTAACATAAGTGAACAAGCTGGTCCTTCTCTGCAGGCTTCGACAAGCTCTAACCTACTTTGGTTTTCAAAAAGCTCAGCTGCAGGGCTGTTGGGTTTTGGAATAAACCTGAGCTGTTTATTTATTTAGTTATTTATTTTATTTAACAGATCTGTTGCTGGAGCAGTGGGCCAGCAGTGAGGCAGGGGAGGCATGTGGGGGGAGCAAGAGACTAAAGAAAAAGTGAAAAGGAAAAGGAATTTGAAACTCTCTAGAAGGAAAAAATGTAGATTTTCAAACAGAAATAGCAGTGAGGGAAGGGAGGAAGAGAGAAACTGGACACAAAAACTGAAGGATAAAAGGCAGCGTTTGTGGAAGGGCAATATGGGTATAAAGGGGGAGATTATTTTGAAATACGATAATGAGGCTGAAAAAAAAAAAAAGGGAATCATTCTGGCAAAAGGATAAGCCCATCCTGTCCTTCACTGTGCTGCATCCAAATAGGTCACTTACAAAAGAGGGAAGACAGAGTGGGCAGAGGAGAGGAGGGAAGGAGGAGAAGGTGGCACATCTCAATGACCTTGTTGTTGAAAACTTCAGCATGAGAAAGGGGTCCTTTGGAGGCACTTCAAGCGTGGAAGAGAAAACACTGTTGATGAAGGGCAAGGGCTGTTCTTTGGCAAATGAGGGAACAAGATGCATTTTCATTTCCTCAAAACCTGCGGTGATGTGACAGTGAATTTGTGTGACAGATGAGGGAACAAACAGCTCATAAAGGGGCTGGTGTTTACCCCGTGTGCTGTCGGGAAGGGCTGAGCAACTGGGACCCCATGAGTACTTCATCTAAGCAGATTCTCACCACTGCTCTGCACACAGTTAGTGCTGTGCCTCAGAGAAGGTGTCCTCACTCAGCTTTGTTCTTCAAAAGCCTGGGATAATCATGGAGACAGCCTGACATTCCCCTGCTGCAGGGGTGGTGTTTGCCTGGGTGGGATGTCTCGCTGGTTGTGTGTGGGGAAGCAGATGCTGAAACAGCTGTGAGGAGCTGAACATGTAATTGCTGTAAAGTGCAGTGAAAATCAAGCCTGAGGCCCTAATTTGTTTAAAAGCAACCATCTGCAGGGCATTTTTAAAGCTGGATGTAAATGAAACCAGCACTAAAATGTTCTCCTTGGTGCAAGAAGGAAGGTCCAGCAGAAGGACTCACAACCCTGGCTGGAGGCACTGGGAACCAAGTTTAGACCCCATTTCTGTCATGAATGTCCTCTCTGACCTCCCACAAGGTACTTTATCAGTGTTTGTGTGTGGGCTGGACAATGGAACACACTGTTGGCTCAGGGCTCCACGTGCTATTGCAGGATAAACAATAAAAGCAAGAAGATAAAGAGGCAAAGGTAAAATCACAGAAAATGTTTAGGGGGCAGGTGGAGAAGGCTCATGAAACTCCTTTATTGGCCGTGCTGGGGCTTTACTGGGATCTAAATGGAGGTAAGGCTGAGCTGTGTCCTGCTCCTCAGTCCTTCTGCCTCCCAAAGGATCCCCATGTGGGGTATGGACCTGTTCCCTGGTGGACAGCAATCAGGGAAAGACCATCTATTGCTCCAACAGACGTGGCTGGAGGAAGAAGATGTAGATCCTACAACATCTATGGACTGATAAAAAAGAATTATATTACATATATATATAGATATATATATGCAGGAATAACTCCTACCTACCTGCCCATGCTGTCCTGAATGTCTGAAGAAAACAAAAGCAATATTAACCGTGTATTTTTAGAGTCAATGGTCACTGATTGTTCCTGTTTAGGGATAAATTTCGAGGCTATAATGGAACTCACAGACATGATCTCATGGCAAATGATCAATTAACAGGAAACATTGTCCTGAAAGTCACATCATTTATTCAGAGCCATAGCTTATCATGGCTCCTTTAAAAAAGCAAAGTGGTTGCACAGGCATGGAAATGAATTCCAAATGCACAGGGATCAGTTTGCATTAAGAGGAGCAGGGTGGGTAAGTGCTGCAGCTCCTGTGTCAGGAGCAGCCAAATGCATTTTGGTGTTCCCTCAAAGGAGGTTTGTTCATGTCTATGTCTATCATCGTGGTAGCTGAAGTCTTCCAAGCAGGGAGGCCTCAAACAAAATCTAAAAAATGAACAAACTCAACACACCAATATGTTACAGACATTATAGAGGTGCAGGGAGCAGTATTGGGAAGTCTGGCTACAACATGAGTCAAGGAAAAATAGTGAATTCAAAGACTTGTTTGAGCTTAGGAGAGTGTCTCAACCCTGGTAATGTGAGTGATGAATATAAATCATGGCAACTGGATGTTGAATATCAGGGAAGAGGGACACATTACATGGCAAATGGAGTGAACTTCATCAGTGCACGTTCATTAGGAAACCCAGAGCTCTGTAAATGGTTCCATCCACTGGCATGTGGCCAATTCCTAAAATTCAGGAATTGACAAACAGAAAAGAGAGGAAATGGTTTTTAGGCATCTTGTTGGGTTGGCTGTTTGCAAAGTGATGTTTTCACAGGTTTGATTGCTGAGTTCACCTTCAAGCTGTCTCATGTCTTAAGATATTTCAGTTCAGCTTTACAAGTCTGAAGGAAGCTTTGAATAAATGCTGCTGGAAAAAATGAACCATTTAAGTTGGTCAGAAATACGTTTTACTGTATCTTATCTGCCTTTATTAATTATCACTTTAGGTAAAGTTTGCTTTTCATTTAATGTTTTGTCGCTCACCCACAGAAATCCTTTGGAGACTGAGGTGCAAGGCAGAGGTGACATAAGCCAGGAAGGTGAAAAAACGTTGGAAAGGTTTTTGTAAACATGAGAGAACTCAGAGTCAACCATACAAAGAACCAGGGAGAGCTGGGTTTGTACAATCTTGCGAAACAAAAGAGGTCTGTAAATACATGCAGTGGGTGGGAGGAAAGAGAGGAGCTATTTATATTAAAGAACAATTCTGGGCACAAATCTGATTAGTTACACACTGGTTAGATAGAGATGTACTTTGACTGGGTTAAATGTGGGCTGGGAATTATAAAATTATCTGGACACTGGAGCAATGAGATCACAGATCCCATGCCCAGGGTGCTGGTTGCAATGTCATACCTGAGGCTGGGCTCTGGTTCCATTTATACAACTATCAAACATCTCTGTTGTGTGAAACAATACATCATGTTCTCCCCCTACTAATTTACTGAATGAAAAATGGGTTTTTTTCAATAATTTATAGTTAATCCATTACTGAATAAACTACCCAAAGCGTGCAAAACCTGGGGTGAGCAAAACCTTTAAAAATCACTTCATTGTCCTGAATACTTTTAGGAAGGGGAGGAATGACCATCCCAGACTTCCTTTCTCCTGGAAAATAATTGAGCAGTTATTCTCAGGCCAAATTTGCAGGCACGAGGTTCTAATTAGACTGCTATGGACAATAATATCTAATTGCTTTTGTTATGCTGAGTACAGATGGAATCATTAGGGCACCACTGGCAGCCCTGGTGTGTCCTCAGCAGGAATGTTTCCCAGGAAGTGATGAAAAGATAGAGCTCCCTGACAGGACTGCAGGGAGCTTGTGAAAGGTCCATCCTTGGAGAGACTCAAAGTTGGACTTCAGGGACTGAAGTCCCAGCTGCTGCTTTGAAAAAGAAGGTGTCAGCCTTCATCCTTCGTCCTTCCCTCCCTTTCTGCTCAGCAGGATCAGGTGCTCCTGCCTTCCCCCACCCAGGGAATCCTCCATCTGCCCGGGAAACAGCTGCACCTCCACTCCTCTGAGGGCAGTGGGAAGCCCTGGGCCCGCTGAGGAGGAAAGGAAAACAAAATGCCTTCGTTAGAAAGGAGCTTTCAGCTCTGAAAAGCAGTGGCCAAAACTCATACTGCCTTTTAGGGGATTAAAACTGGTGAGTTACAGCAACTCTGGTTAACAGGAAGCCTGAGAAGGTGGGTAAGTATGCATGTGATACCTGCATGAGGAATAGAGGAAAGAGCACAGAAGGATATATGTGGAACCCCAAAAAATCAGTGACAATCCAAGATATGGCATGGGGACCACTTACATACCCCTTTCATTATTTAAGGTTTAGAGAACTCATTTATCTGCCTATTCAAAAGTGCAACCTCTTCTTTCCATAAAATGGTGGTCAGTGAGTTACTGAAGAGAGAAAGGTGATTTTGGAGAGGGAGAAGGAGAGACAAAAGATTAAATACATCTTTAAAAAAAATCTAAACTGGAGCTGAAAGATTAGATTGCACATCTCCATCTCTGAGCTGGTTAAGATTTTTTTAAACTATCTAAGCACCTTTGGTGGTGTTTTACGTGTGTTTACAGGCTGGTTTTTAATTCCTTTCAGGTCTTGGCTGTTGTTACTCTATCACAAAAGGCCCTGCTAATGCCACAGTCCTTGCTGGCTCCCAGGCCAGGTTTAACTGCACCGTGTCTGCAGGATGGAAAATCCTCATCTGGCTGTCCAATGGGAATCCTGTCCTCACTGTCCTCAGTTCCCAGGGATCCGTGGAAACCACAGACCGCTTCACCTCCCAAAATTACACCAGTGGTGATGAGTTTACCTCAGAGCTCATCATCCACAACACCCAGCTGAGCGACGCCGGGAAAATCGAGTGCAGCATCCAGCAACCCAGCGAGAACAACTTTGCCTTCCTCTCTGTCCAAGGTGTGTATGGCCACCAACAGAGAGGTATTTTGTTACACTGCACTCCAGGGAATCCTCTGAGGAATTGCTCAGACTATCCCTGGGAAGGAGTCCATGTTCTCATTTCCCACCCTTGGCCTCCTGTCCCCCTCGTCTTAATTTTACTGCCAAAGCAGGTTTGAGAGTCACATTCAGACCACCAGTAACAAAGGTGATAACTGCCCCTGTTTTTTCCTGTTACATCTCTTATTCTTTATCAGAATAAGCCAGGAAAGCAGGATTTAACCACCAGGCACTACCTGTTTGTCAAAGAGGTGCTTGGTGAGGTGATAGCATCTCATCACCCACCCATAAACCTTTCCTGATAGGACCTGAGCATATTTAAAACTTAAGAGAGAAACACTGTTATTTCATTATGTTGTCTGTCAGCTGGAAGTTAAGTTAAGTTAAGTTGCTAAAAAGTGCAATTTCCTGCTTTTTATTGGAAAGGTACTGAAAGCTGAGGCTCGTTCTTTAGATATAATGAACAATATGTCCATGCAGTTGCAATATCTGCATGTTTCTACCATGAATGTGGTATATCTGTGGTAATAATTATCGTTTTTCACTTCATATCTCAAGGCATAGCTATTTCTGGGTAGCAAGATAAGATTTAAAGCTACCAGCAGGAAAGCAATGCAGCAAAACATTCTGAAGGAACAAAACATCTTTTCCCTCCCACAGTTAATGGATCTTTATTCATCAAAAATAGCACCTTGACAGTAAAAGAGAACACAACAGTTGAAATTGTTTGTGAAGCCTTAGGATGGGCTCCAGCTCCAGACATTGCCTGGATGACAAATGACTCTCTCATTGATAAGTCAAGTTATGTTAACCAGCAAAGTCAAGGATCTGATGGCCTCCACAATGTCCTGAGCATCCTGACTGTGACTCCAACAGCCACTGAGGTTCTGACTTGTTTAGCTGACATAGAAGCACTCCCTGAACCTCAGAATGCAACTGTAACCCTTATTTTTGACAACTCCACTGCAGGTAAGCGAGTGTTTGTTGTACTTTGCCTGTGCTGCACTGCCTGTACTCAGAGCTGGGTGTTTTATTCTACTTTGCTTCATTTTGAAAAGATCTTTTATTTGCAAAGGGGATGTGCAGAGGTGACAGAATTAAGACCCAGTAACCAAAATCTGATATATGGGTAGGATAAAATGCACTGGTACAAGTCTAATGAACCACAAAGCCCAGTGTAGGACTGAGCAAGGCAAACAAAGCTGTACATTTGCCACTGATTCCTATGGATTCACTGGAAAACCAGACTTTGCTCCTTGACCAAGAAAACATCTAATGAATTTAGATCTTAAATAATTCAGTACTTGCACTTCAGGTGCAAATGGAAAACACAGGAGCAGTGTCCATAGATTTTCTTATTCCAAGCCCCTGCCATGGGCAGGGACACCTTCCACTATCCCAGGTTGCTCAGAGCCCCATCCAACCTGGCCTTGAACACTTCCAGGGATGGGGAATATCTATGGACATTATCCCAAAGACTACTTAGATCAAAGAGCCATTAGACCTGTTTTCCTCTTCCTGGCATGCCCTCTTCCAAATGTTAGAGAAAGGTAAAAAATGTCCTGCAGCAACACATGTGGAATTTTTTGGACGGTGCATTAAGTTGCTTTATATTGGCTTTTACTGAAGGAGGTTTAAGGCTGGATGTCATGCAAATCTCTCAAGAACTCTTAGCAAGACCTTTGATAACTCTAAAGATTTTTGCTGAGGTAGGTTATAATCATGCTGACAGCTTCTTTTGGTGAACTGCTGCTTCTTCTGCAATGGGTGAACGTGGCACATGCAGAGACATCCTTAGAGTGGATCCACGAGGGGTCTGGTGGAGACATTTTGACACATAAACACCTGAGGAGATTGAGTAACTGTGCCTTTCGTTTTCAGTGTGAGTCATTATCAGCATTACCTTTTTTCAGGAGAACTTGCTCGGAAACGCAGTCGGAAAAGGTCATTTTACCACTCTTAATATGGATTTTTGTAGTCGCATTGATCTTAATTACTGACTGAGCAAAACAGGGCCATCCTGAGGAAATTAATAAATTCCCCTGCCTACTGATTTGTGAAGTAGTGAGGGATCCACCCTCAGTTTCCATAGCTACTCACTGTAAATCAGAAGAGCAGAAAAACAGATGTCATGGAGCTCTATTAGTGTATTATTAGTGACTCCGTAGGACCATCATTCATTTCTCTTTGGAAATATCACTGTGCTGCAGCAGCCACTCAAAATTTGTGAGGGTAGGAGAATATGAAGCCTTTAAATGATTAGAATGAAATATAAGCGTGGCATTTCTGACAGAGAAATATATATAATGTGTATATATATATCACACTTAAAATCTCAGAGCTTTTCGTATACAGGCTCAGCCTAAGCTACCTGTTGCTGGGAAAACTTCAGACATCTAAGAAATCCTTCCAAAAACTACTGTAATAACAATTTCCCCCTTCCCTTAAAAGCCTGAGGAATTGAATTCCTCCATGTTCCTCCCAAGCAATACAAGAAATACCAAAAATCTGAGCCCTCTATAGCCAGACAGCTCCTGGGACGGGAATGTCCCACCTTCCTGCACCTCTAGGTCAGTCTTGCCCTACAAGGTGATGCATTTTTGTGTCAGTCACACCTCCTCCAGAGTTACTTTGCTCACAGGGGCGTTTGGCTGAGCCCCAAATTTGAGAACTCCTACAGAGTTATCCCAGGTGATGCATTCACAGAGCTGTTACTGGGAAATGGGATCCAGGGCAGTCCCTTGGCTGAGCCCAAGCTCTCCTTGGCCTCAGTGTTGAATTCAGGTGGCCTTTAACCTGCAGAAGGTGAGGATGGAGAATCTTCCACGAGCCTGGAATTCCTTTGATTTTTTAAGCTATCCAGGAAGCTCCAAAGTGTCCAGGAAGCCACGTGTGGGTTTTTCCAGTCTCTCGTTTCTCCTTGGTCACATGCGAGAGGGAAAATCCCCTTTTCTGCAGATACTTTGTCCAACTAAAAATTTGGACAGCTCTGGGAGGAGCCAGAGGTCTGGATGGGTCCTATGGAATGAGGCAGTGGCTTTGTCCACACTAAACACCCCATGTAACCTCGTGTGGATTTACTGATGGGCTCAAAGGGGTTTGATCCCTCAGTGCCCCTCCCTTGCACCCCTGCTTCTGTGCTGAGCTGGCAGCTCCCACCTCCACCTGCTTGGTCTCAGCTCCAGTTTCTTTCTGGATGCTCCCAAACTGAGGAAACACTAAAATGCTGGAGTGCTGGGAGCGTTTGTGTTGTACCCTGTCCTACCTTCAGCTCTAAAAAATCCTCTGGCACAAAACCTGAACGTGCCAGGGAGTGAAAAACCTTGAGCTGGCAGACCTGGAGGTGTGGGCAGTGCAGGTGTGTTTAGCTCCTCTCTTCACACCAAGGAGTAGCTTTCCCTATAGATAAATGGCTGTCTTTAGTATTTTAATCATCTTGATATCCTCATGGCATGCTCGATGGAGCAAAATATAACACAATGCAGGTATTTGTTTCAGTACTTCTAGATAAAAATATTATTAACAAGTTTATCACCATTTTTAATCACAACTGATGGCAGCCTACAGGATTTACTACTGGTTTCAGGGTTCCTGAGTGCTTTTTTTTTGACAGAAGAAATCCAAAACATGCTGATTGAACATTAGGATTAGAGAAGACTGGAACAAATTTCTTAATGATAATGACCTGAGCTTTGGAGAATGCAGACTCCTAGCAGAGATTAAAGCTTTGTAGGAGGCTCTGGTCCTGTATTTTTGAAGTCTGAAACCTCCAGACCCCAAACACACACCCAGGCAAATAAGTAGATAGAAAGGATTTAGTTTATTCCCTGCCATAGGTAAACCTTGTTCCCACATGGAATTGCCCTGACTCTGTGGAGCTCCCAGTCACCTTCCTTGCTGTGGTGCCTTTTCCAGAGGCTGTCAGCTAAGGGTGGCCATGGAATCATTACCTGGGACCTCTAATGAGGAAAACACATCCATAAACACATGCAATGGACTGGACTGTGCCAGGTTTGGATGTGCCTCACACCCGGAATTTGGATTGGAAGCTAAAGAACTGTCAAAGTTATTTTGGGGCTGCTTTCCAAAGGGTAAATGAATCAGATAGAGGTGCTTCTGGAATATGTGGTCAAACCAAAGGGCAGGATGATGTGACAATCAGAACTGACATATCTTCCTTCTTCATCAGTCTATCTGAGAAATTAGGGAGTGTCCAAGGCCAGGCTGGATGGGGCTCTGAGCAACCTGGGACAGTGGGAGGTGTCCCTGCCCATGGCAGGGAGCTGGAATTTGATCTTTAAGTTCCCTTCCAACCCAAACCATCCCGTGATTCTCTGATTCTATTTTTCCAAGGTATTATTAAAACATGCAGGAGCCCTGGTTGGTCACAGCAACAGATTCCAGCAAGACACTGAGTTATCCTTAAATCACCTCATTTAACCCTGGAGATTCCAGCAAAGATAAAGGAACAAGTTAATTGGGATAATGCTGGTAGAGAAAAAAACCTCTTCAGGTTTTGCTCTTTGCTGCTCTTTAAGTGGGTGACAGATGCCCTACCAAGCATGTCTTGAAATCAAAAACTTGTTGAAATCATTGAGAGAAACCCCAAGGCAGAATTGATTAGAAAATCATATCTCCAGACTAGAAATCACCAACTGTAGTAGTCACCTAAAACTCTTGCTGTGGTCTGTGGGGAGAAGTGGATGCTTTCAGAGCAGTTTCAGCATATCAAAATTTACTCAAATAAATTACAACCCAAAATACCTATTTTGGTGGGAAAAGTTACAACTGCACTAAAGAATTTGAATTTGGAAATATTTTAAATTCTTGGGCAGCACCCACAAATTTGTCATTTGTCTGTCATTTGGAAAACACAGGCTCCTTGTTAATAATCAACAAGCACCTCAGAGAAAAGGTAAATATTCTGCAAAGGGTGTTTTGAGGCTCTGATAAGACAATGTTTCTCCATTTAATTTAACAGAAAATTATTACCGTGAAGACAACAGAAGCTCCTGGGTTATTGTACTTGCAGTTGTGCTTTCATTCCTTGGTATTGTTCTTCTGACCACTATTATTGTGGTGGTTGTTCGCTGCTGCCTGAAGAGGAGAGGTGAGTGGAACTTTACAGTTGGTCTCTATATTAAAAAGTATCTTTGACCAGATATAAACCCCCAAGTTGTGTCAGCTCTGGTGCTGTGCAAAGTCCTGTAAGCAGAAGTGAGAGCGGACAGATCCTGCTCTTAACCTTGGCCTGGTTAAAATGCTCCTTAAATTCTCCTTAAATTGGCCTTAGATGCTCCTTAATTTCACCTTCCTGTTCCTCTCATAAATTGACTCCACAGCAATCAGTGTCAGCCCTTCACATTAACTACAAGAGGACCATGTTTTTTGGGAGCACATTAGCTTTCAAAGACTTTCAGTCCCTGTGCTGAGGTTCTTTGTTGAAGAATATCTTCAGTGCTGTGTGCCTGATTCCAGTTTCTGTGTAAGCTGCTCTACAGGGCTGTAAATTTTGTAAGCAGGGGGGAGAGATGCTCCCGTGGTAGCTGGAACAGAGGGAATGCTCTAAGAGAACTTACAGTTTATATTTTAATTTCTTGCATTTTAAAAACATTCCTTCTTTTTTTTTCTTCTTTCTCAGCATCTACATATCAAAGTGAAATCAGGTGAGTCAGATGAAGGGGGGGGGGGGAACTTTTCCTGTTAACTGGACTCTTTCAGGGTGGCAAGAGGGATGTGGGAGTTTCCATGCCCTGCCACCCAGCATCCCAGAGGAAAGGGGACCAGCTTTAGGGGCGAAAAACCAGCAGCAGGTTGCGAATCCTAAGTGAAAAAAAAAGCACCAAAATCCCGCCGGCGCCGCATCTCTGACTCGGCGAGCGCAGAGACGACAAGCTGAGGAGGCACTCCCGCTAAAGCTGATGGGCAAAGCGAATTCCTAAGAGCCGGCTGTGCCCCCAGGGAAGGCAGGGGAGGGTCGCCGGGTGCCCCGGGCTGGCCAGCACAGCCCGGCGGGCGATTGCCGCCGCCGCCACAGGATGTCACTGCCAGCCCGGGGACGGGAGAGGAGGAGCTCCTTGGGATGGATGGATGGGCAGGGAAATCGCACCGTCTGCCCGGCTCTTTTGAGGGTGGATAAACTGGCGAAAGAGGGGTTTAGAGGGTAGGTTTAGGTTAGATATTAGGAAACAATTCTTTGCTGGGAGCGCGGTGAGACCCCTGCACGGGTTATGGTGAGAGGTTGTGGACCCCTCATCCCTCATCCAAGGCCAGGTTGGAAGGGGCTTGGAGCAACCTGGGGTGGTGGAATGTGTCCCTGCCTATGGCAGAGGGTGCAACTGGATAATCTTTAAGGTCCCTTCTGACCCAAACCATTCTATGATTCTATAAAAAATTAATAAAGGTGCCCCAATGAAAAACATCAACCCGTCACCAGGTTGTTGCCAGACATGCTTGGGTACAAAGCTGCTGGTACATTATTGCACTGAGCAGGACAATTTTAGCCATCAATAGCTGATGGCTATCAGCATTAAGATCCTTTTTATTGGCACAGTGTGGCTGTGACAGCAGTGGCAGTGGGGTTATTTATGTTATTTATATTATTATTTATATCCAGGCAGCGCTGTAAATTCATACCCTGCCTACACTTGTGGGGGCTTTTAACTCCCTGTCCCTTCATGAGTTTCCAAAGCCTCACCCCCTGTTGCCTGGCACGTCAGTAATACCCAGTTTCATTAACAGCCTCTTGGGGGGGAAATTTTGTGAAGGTCTGTTGACAGATTTCCATTTATAGAGCACTTTATTGATATGGAACAAAATAAGGAAATGAGATACCCACTGTTTTCTCCCAAGGAAATGATGCTTATTATGCCACGTAAACTTCCATGGGATTTCTTAATTTGTGGGGCTGACTTGATCATTTTGCCAAGTGCAGCTTGCACTTTGGAAGTTGAGAAAACTGGGATGAATTCGGGCTTTCTGAGGCTCAGCTCAGGCTTGGAGACTCTGAATTAAAAGCTCTACAAAGTTTTACAAAGTGTGTAAACGTTGACACTGAAATCAGGATTATTAACAATCACTTACAGATTTTGTAGGTCCAGTGGTTGTTTTTTTTTACCTGCAGTAAAAAGGAGTGATGATTGTCCAGATTTGGGAAGCTCCATTATAGTAGCAAAGAAGTGGAGAGACCAAACATATATTGCTTTATTTCCCACATTTATTTTTAACTTGCCTGGATATCTTCCCATACCTCCCACACTTTTTTTTTTCTTTTTTCTTTTTTTTGGTAGCTCCTTTTTTATTTGGCTACGACACTGAGTTTGTTGGGAACTAAGGATCAGATAAAATACACAGTACAGTGTCATGTAACATGTGGGGGTGGTAGCCCTGAACAATTGCTTTTGTCTTCCAGCAACCAGGACAGGTTTCTTGGTGGTATCTGACATGTTTATCCCCTAGAATAGTCAGTGGCTGGTTCATCAGGTTTGTGTGCATCAGTAACACCCACCTGAAAATCTGTGGGCCAGTAAAGCCATTCCTGCTAAACATAAAAAGTAGAATCACAGGATCCTTTAGGTTGGAGAAGAGCTCCAAGATCATGGGGTCCCCTCTGTGCCCCATCCCCACCTTGTCCCCCAGCCCAGAGCACTGAGTGCCACGGCCAGGCCTTCCTGGGACACCTCCAGGGATGGGGACTCCACCACCTCCCTGGGCAGCCCCTGCCAAGGCCTGACCACCCTTTCCAGCAAGAAATGTCTCCTGATATCCAACCTGACCCTCCCCTGGCACGGCTTGAGACCGTTTCCTCTTGTCCTGTCCCTTGTTCCTTGGGAGAAAAGGTTGATCCCCCCCTTGACTCCCCCTTTCTTTGGACAAGTTCATGTGGCATTTTCCACAAACTCACAGCATGTCACCCCTTCCCCCTAAAAATTCCTGGGTTTTCATGGTGGATCTGAAACCTTGGCAAAGGTGGACCTGGGTCTATCCAGGAGAGGGGTCCGTGGCAGGAACAGATCAGTAGTTTCTTCTAGAGTAAGAGTTTGGGGTAAAAAAGCACTATTGTCTCTCTGTGCAGCTCTGTACATTCAGAGATGTGTAAATTTAACCAAGGGAGTTCCTTTCACTTGTAAAGTAAATTTCAAAGTGAAAGATTAACTTTGGAGTGTAGAGATGAATCACTTGGGAGCTCTCTGTGGGGGTGTGAGATAACACTCTTTGTTTTTGCAGCTGGGGACAGGCTCAGGTCACCGAAATAATGAGCTGTCCTGAGTGACCATTACTGGGCCGCTGAATATCCTGCAATTCACAGTTAGAGATCAAAATTCATTGCCTACAAAACCTATGAACTGGTGCAGAGTCTTCACTCTCTGAAAGTTGCTCAGTTATTTTCCTGCTTTCTGGGATATTGCAGCTCATGGGAACTTTCCAAACAGAATTCCATGGGTAATACTTACATGGGACGAGATTTGTACTCGTGGCTTGGAAGTCCCAGACGTGTTTTGCACCTATTTTTTGGGAAGCAAAAGACTTTTTCCTCCGTACTCTGCTACCCAACAGTTCTCCTATCATAGTGATTTTCTAATTACACACCTTTTTTGTTTCTAGAAAAGTTTCAGCTGAGAAGAAAAAAGATGGAGATTTGGAAAACAGGCAAAGGAATGGTAGTGAAAACCCAGGATACCTTCCAGAGGAACTGTGGAACACAGAACAGAGCCCAGGTGAGTCTAAGCTGGTGAATCACATGTTGTCAAAGTGCTTCTCAACATGGGCCTTTTGGACAACATATCAAGGAATTACATTATGAGACTTCACACGTATTTCACAATACTCAGTGAGGGATCTGTCTTTGCCCTGGGCCTCTTCAGAACA